TTAAAACCAACCTCCATTCTTTAACTATGTCGGTTAGAGAATCCCTAAAAGAAGAGTTTGTGGCAAGAGCCATGTCCCAACATCACACAGTATACAGGGAACTAAATCCGAATGTAAAGTGTGCAAGCTTGACTGGAAAAAAATTAGATCCTCGATCCATCAGATGGTTGAAGTTAAGGGGCGAGTTGTTTAACTTGAACTACAAACCGTACCAAGCTCTGAACGAGAAGAATGCCGTCTTTGTAACTTGAAAGCAAGGGTGTTGTTATAGCGGTTTGCCCTATTCTTTCTGAAAATAGGAGATTGTTCTTCTGGTGCAGTATATTCACAAGAAAATTTTTTTTAAGTTTATTGGATGGATCCAATTGGGTGCATTGGTAGAATACACCAGAGCAGGCTGGATGTATAGGAAGGATTATGTTGGACGATAACATTGTTTTATTCTTTCTTTTATTATACGGTATTATTTTTAGTTCTTTTTTTTATTCTTATGTGTATGTTTATTTCCCTTCTTACTTTTATTCTTGTTTATCCTTATTATTTCTACTTAATCTATTTTTATCGTGTTTATGCATAACTAATTCATTATGTTAATTTCTATTTAGTTTTTTATTTCAGGAAAATTTATGCTTTTGTTAACCATTTAACGATGTAAAAATAAGAGCACACAAGCCTGCATGAGAAAAACCCTTCCTTATTTCTACACTTTGATCAAAAACCAATTAATCAATCGGAATTAAATTTTATTGAAGTATACCCAAATGTATGCCGAACAATTCGGCTAAGAACGTTTCCCTAAATTAAGTAGTTTCAATTTGACAAGAATTTGAAGTTGCAAAAAAACTATCGATTTTTCCTAACTTGAAACACTTTTGTTTTCATAAACTATCTATTTTTACGATTACTTTAGCCTTGATTATTCTAATCGTCTACTTAATCGTTAAAAATACTCATTATTAATTAGAACTCAGTAATTAACTGGGAAGCAACCACATGGGAAAAACTCTTCCACATCCTTGCACTTTGATCAAAAACCATTCTATCAATTTGAATAAACTTGTATTTATGTAATCTCAACTGTATGATAAACAGGTTTTGGTAAAAAAAAATGTCTATTAAATTAAATAGTTTTAATTTGACAAGAATTTAAAGTTGGGCAAAAACTGTCAATTTTTCCTAACTTGAAACTATTTATCTTATTAATTATACATTATTTTTACAAATCCTTTAGCCTTAACTGTTGTAAATCTTCTACTTAATGATTGTAAATATTCATTATTGAAGTTATCTGATAAGAATCGGACAAAATGCACGGGGAGCTGTATAACCGAACTCGAAACTGACTAACTGACCTGGGAACTTGAAACTGAGAACTGTCCAACTGAACTGGCTAATTGAACTGGGAACATTCTAACTAAACTGAGAACTGGTTAACTGACCGAGCATTTCCTGTAGCGCTAAATGCGTTCGAGAGGGAGGGAGGCTCTCTTTGAACAACTAAGTGCCCTTAAAAATTACTAAATATTTTAAGATTGATAATTAACGGAATAGACTCTCCTGAAAAAGAAAATCGTATCTAACTTAAAATCAATTGAATAGAAGGTGACAAATAAATAGGGAAAACAAGTCGTTCGTACGAAAAAGGATCACAACTCCCTTAAATGATTAAAATCGCCAATATTTTTGGTGGAAAAAAAGACCCGAGTGTACAAGGCAAATTGTTTGCTAGGCAACTGAAACACCGAGAAGAGCGAAGAATAAAACTAAAAACCTGAACGTTCTACCACTGGATATTACAGTTAAAGTATAAGAAAAATCGATAATACTCCCAAGATCAAAATGGAAATCCTTCCGCCTTTGAAATCGGTTTCGATAAAAACCGAAAAAACTACACGGATGTTGCGTTTCAAGTAGCTCAGGAAGGTCGTCATTTGTTCGAGAGTTACTACTCGGTCTATTCAAATTTCCTAAAATAACCCTATGAATCGCTAAGGAGGTAGCGATCAATTTGCGCGCATTTTTTCAATATTCTTTTTTTATATGAATCTAAAACTTTTGTTTTACAAAATAAAACTGGTCCTTACAGATCCCGAACTTTAGCAGTGCTTGATATAATTTTTTGAAAGTTGTAAATGAAGTGTTCTGGTGAATCTCGCCTTGATGAACTTGTAACCCTCCATCCTTTACTAAGCGTAAAGACTCATCTTTTATGTATATTCTGTAATTATTCCGAAATCGTGAGATGCGGTCTGGATATTCTGTGTTAAAAAGTACCCTTTAAAGCTTTAGAAGAATCAATTTTTATGACGTAAATTGGGCGGTAATTGAAAAACTCGAGATGTATCAGAAAATCGCTTCTTCTGAAAAATTAAATTTGTCTCATTTCTGTTCACTTTCTCCAAAACTTCAACGTAGAAATGATGTTTTATTTTATTTTTTAGGCAAATATTAAGTAAACCATAGAAACGAATAATTGTTTTAAGCACCTCCACCGAGATGAATCGTTTCAAATATATATGTTTCGTTGACGAAAATTTCTATCAAGTAATTAAAGTACTAATTGTCCTTCGTTTTTTGTTTTGTAAATTTGTTTTAAAATTGTCCACTAATTAATATCCTAAAATAAATCTATGATTCCATTCAAAGGTTTAAATACTTGTTTTTTCCTTTTTTTCTAAATGTTTTTTTATTTTAAATAAAGGGACCCATTTTCTTTTAAACAATTTAAATATCCCAAAATAATGCCATGAATCCATTACAAAAATGTATATTTTTATTTTTACACAGCAAATTTCTTTTCTAGAAATGACACTTGTTGATTTTTTGTTTTTTACAAAAGTTTGTTCCAAAATTTTAACCTGAACCAGCATCACAGTTTTATTTGACTAATCAAGCCTCGTTCGTGTTTGTTTGTTTTTCCAAAAATTTCGGTGGACCAATTTAAATTTCGAAATGTTGAGTAATTAAAGTACTTATGAAACCGTAAATTTCTTTTTTGGAGACGGCACTACTTGATTTTTATTTTATTATTATTTTTTTTGTTTACAAAAGTTCGTTACAAAATTTGTAGCTGAAACAGCATCACAGCGTATAAATATATATTCTTTTATTCGAGCCTCGTGTTTTTTCCAAAATTTTCAACTGAAGCATGCAAATTCCAAAATGTAGAATTATTAAACAATTTAAATATCCCAAAATAATCCCATGAGACTATTCAAAAATATAATTTAAAATGTTCAGATGCCCAAGATTTTCGAAACATGCCCAATAACATAATAAACTATCCAAAACAATTCATTTGTGAGCCAATCTGTCATGTAATTAATCTAGCGTTTAAGGAAGGAAAATTCGCCAAGGCATTACAGCTTTGTGGGGAATCTAGTGTACAAAAAGGGTCAAAAGATGATATACAAATTTGAAGGCTGAATTCACTAACTCCAATACTGTCTTAAGTTTTTGAAATAGCTTTTCAAATAAATTGATTCATTTTTTAAATACTTTTAACGTTTTATCTGAATCGCAGTATGTATATAGGACGGGTTTAGTATCAATAGCTATAATAAATAATAAGTTATAAATATTTATAACAATTTTGAAAATAATAGTAAAAGTAAACGCCCTTAAAAATTAATAATAATAATAATAATAATAGTAAAAGTAGTATGGCACCTGTCAAAGGCGTTTGGTACTGTTGATCATAAGATTCTACTTGATCAGCTGTATCACTATGCTGTACGGGCATCCCCCATTAGACTTTTGTTCAGACTTTAGAATTGACAGAAATCAAAATATGATTTTAAATAATACCTCGTATAGTCAAGGTATAGTTAAGTGTGGGGTACTTTAGGGCTCCATTTTGGGCCCAATATATTTTCTCATTTATTTAAATGACTTAAATGTATGTAAAAATTTAAATAAGGATATTTTGACTTTCCAGCTTTCTGATGACACCGGCTTTTTACGAAACTTTGATATTTATGCTTTAAAGTTGTTGTTAAATGAAATTTATAACTATTTAAATGAAAATTTTTTAGTACTAAATATGACAAAAATCAATTTATTATCTTTAATATAAATCGATCAGTAAGCCTTAAAAATCTTAAAATTACAGAAAAAAAGCAGTAAGAATAATATTTTGTGTTAAGCAAATATAGAGTTGTAAACCACTTTTTGAAGAGTTTAATGTGATGGCGGTACCAACTTTGCATGTGTATTTATTTAAATCTAAAATATGTAAAAGAAAATATAAGTAATTTTACGAAAGCCTGAGATAAAACGAAGTTGAATGTAAGAAATGCAGAAAACATTGTAAAACATACCTACCAAAAAACAAATAATAGCCCTGAGGTCGTTTTCATAGAAAGTTTATAACGTGTTTAAATTAAAATTTTAAAAAATTAGAAAAAAGATAAAGAGACAAATAAATTTTACTTGAGGTAAAGACAATATTGATTCAAACTCCAATACATAACAAACAAGAATTTATAAATATAAGCAGAAGCATGTAAAATGAGGTAAACAATGTAGATTGTGATAACAATAAACTATCTATCTATACAAAAACCTCTTCCAAAGGAGTTTTTTTTAAATAATATTTATGAATTAATTTTGTAATCATTGCGAAAATCCTCTCAAAAGTGTGGACAATAAAAATAAATGCAATTCTCAGATGATTTAACTTTTTTTTTAATTATTTCCTTTTTCAAATCGCGTGGTTGAGACTGAGTTGCTAGGGAAGGGTAAACACGTTTTCAAAAGCCGGCTGGCTGTCTTGTGTAAACAATCCCATTGACTACGAACCACTAATTTATTGTCACTTGTTGGACTTTCTGTCATGATTATTTTAATGCAACACTAAATCCCTCAAAAAAATATTTATATTGGATTTGTAAAAAATGTTAAGTTTAAAATTTGTCTTTTTTTAATAATTTTTTTTTCGGATTTTTGATTGTCATGTTTTACAATTGGCGGTTTGAAGTTAGCGATCTTTGTGTACTCACATGAAACCGTGCAAAGAACCGTAGCCGAAGAAGTCTGACTGGTACTGAACTACTGATGGCATAAACCCATTTCGTTTCGGTCTGTCCCCACCATCCCCACTCGTCCCTCGGCCCCTTTATAGATCGATATTATTACTGGATCTCTCACCTTTTCCTTTTAAAAAGGGCGATTTCCAGGGGCAGTGGATCGGCTCCGGCTGCAGGCGAGTGTGACGGAACGTCTGTCACCTTGGGCTGGAAGATGGCGTTCGACTGTCAGTGAACCCTGCCGGGTTTAGCAACGGGATTCATTCAAACGTGAGACCGGCCGGCCGGCACGTTTCTACCGGTCGGTTGTCTACTCAAGAGGAATAACGTTAACCCACTCCTTTACGACTTCGTTGTTTAACCATCAACCCACCATGCATTCACCAAAGTTCCGATGCGTTATGAAAAATATTTTAATTAATACAGGATCGGCTACTCGTGTTAAAAGTTATCCTGTACTTTTCTTTATCATTACACTCTCCATGATTCTCCTTTAGCGCGAGTTGAAGTCGTGTGTACTTGGTGTGCTTTTTGACCAAAAGCTCAGGTTTAAAGAAAATATTTCTTCAATAAAAAATATATCTATGAAGACGCTAGGTTTCATCATCCGGAACACCTATGAATTTTAAAAATCCACTATGATTTGTCCATCTTTATAAAGCTTTTGTACAACCCATACTAGAATACGCTACTACCTGTTCGGAACCCATACTATCTAAATTAACAAAAATTTCTTCAATCTGTACTGAATTCCAAAGCTCTAACTACATGCTCTCTTTTCTACACCGCATGATGATCAAAAGTAACAACATCTGCAATAGCATTGCCTTCTTCAATAGTTCTGTGCAATCTGTGAAAAACCATACCCTGCAACCCTACCCTAGTTGAATTTTCTTGCCAATTTATATTGTTGTAAATGCTTTCATACTGTTAAAAGTTTATTACGATGTGTGGTGTTTAGTTACCGTTAGCCAATGATTATATAGAGATCGTGAGATGCTGGTGTGACATAGAAAAACATTTTCTTTATCGTGCCAACGTTTCGATCATTATTGTGACCATCTTCAGGGCCTGGGATTTATAAACATTGTTTAAATTTAACAAATACATGTAGGATGTGAAAAAAAAGAATCTATACAACGCTAGCAAATTTTAGATTAAAAAAAGAATTTATACAATGCTAGAAATGTTTAGATAAAAAAAAATGTATACAAAGCTAAAAAAATTTAGATAAAAAAAAGAATTTATACAATGCTAGAAATGTTTAGATAAAAAAATAATGTATACAATGATAGAAAATTTCAGATTAAAAAAAATGAATTTATACAATGCTAGAAATGTTTAGATAAAAAAAAATGTATACAATGCTAGAAAATTTTAGATTAAAAAAATGAATTTATACAATGCTAGCAAATTTTAGATTAAAAAAATAATTTATACAATGCTAGAAAATTTTAGATAATAAAATAATTTATACAATGCTAGCAAATTTTAGATTAAAAAATAATTTATACAATGGTAGAAAATTTTAGATAAAAAAATAATTCTTAATAATTCATCTGCAATAGCATTGACTTCTTCAATAGTTCTGTGCAATCTGTGAAAAACCATACCCTGCAACCCTACCCTAGTTGAATTTTCTTGCCAATTTATATTTTTGTAAATGCTTTCATACTGTTAAAAGTTTATTACGATGTGTGGTGTTTAGTTACCGTTAGCCAATGATTATATGGAGATCGTGAGATGCTGGTGTGACATAGAAAAACATTTTCTTTATCGTGCCAACGTTTCGATCTTTATTGTGGCCATCTTCAGGGCCTGGGATTTATAAACTAATTTATAAATTGTTTAAATTTTACAAATATATGTAGGATGTGAAAAAAATTGCAAAAACCCAAACAAAATCCCACAGCACTGTCTACCCACCATTCTAAACACCAACATTTCGACTTCAACAATCCAGAAATATTACACACAGAACAAAGCAAACATAAACGTAACTTTTTAGAAATGGTTTACATCAACAGAGATAAACACAGCATCAATTACTGAACAGACACATGTAAACTCAGTCGCAGCTACGCCAATATCATTAATCAAATTCAATATCGATCACATACATATATCATCACATCACACAAAACATATAACATATAAAACATTCATCACATTCCACACATCAAACATTTTTACATAGTCTAATTCTTCAACAATTTGGCTTTCCTTTCCCTAATTATCCCCGTCTATATAATCCTGAAAAGATAATCAGGACGAACCATTACCAATTTTTTCCTATTGTCGGCTCTGTCGGCTCTTTTCGCCTCAAAGAAGCCGACTCCTTATATAAAAATGTCTTTCTATCCCGATTTCCTTCCCCACCCCTTCAAAATCCAAAGTATATAAACATAAAACACCAATATCTCACTGCACTCTCAACACGACTCACAAAAATGACATATATACACGGAAAACCAACATTTTGAGTGAGTACAAATACTTTGATTGAATCTACAATTTTCTAGCATTGCATAAATTCATTTTTTTATCTAAAATTTTCTCCACTGTCGTTGACTAACCTTTGTAAGGTAAAGACGTGTACTCGGAGCTCCAAGGGATTATAGATCCGCCGCACCGATAAGTACAAGCCGGGTCGATCGATAATTCACTTTTTAACTATCCTTTATTTTTCTTTTTTTTTACTTTTTTTTTTAATGGTAAAACGGTTTAGTTGTTCATTATAATTTCTTTTGTGCCATCTGTCTCCGATTATTTTGTTTTATGTCACTAACCTCTCGTCTCTTGTAAATAAGTGTTTTAATAAGCTTAAATCTAGTAAATAACATTTCTGTTCTTTTTTCTTCCTTACTTGTACAAACTCTTTCCTTGTACCGTGCCCCACCGAAGTGAAACGTCATGTCGGAACATAGTACAGGAAAAGACCCGCCCGTGCCACTGTCAAACAATACAAATATCGTTGAATTTGATGGTACTCCATCAATTAGTAACCCTAAAAGACCTCTTTCCTCCTCATCAGCCGAATCAGAAAATATAAAAACAAAAAAAAGTACCCCATGACATAGCGGACACTACCCCACTATTCCTGGGGTATAGTGAGGCGGGTGATCCGCCCAGCGAGTCCGCATGAAACATTGACCAAAATTTCACCCTTTGTGGTCAACCGTTGCATCGTTTCTGCTGCCGGCACCCCAAAAACCATTAAAAAAATTCGAAATGGAACATTCTTGATCGAATGTAGCGACATTAGACAAAGCCTACGCCTATTTACCCTAACAAAACTTCACACAACCCCGGTAATCGTTGAAGGACATAAATCCTTAAACTCCTCTAAGGGAGTCATCTTTTCCTACGAACTTAGTGAAATTAGCGAGGCTGATTTAAAAGCTGCACTAGCTAGTCAAATAGTCAAAGAAATATGCAAAACACAAAAAGAAGTTAATGGCCAAAAAATCCCATTGGTACTATGATTTTAACCTTTTCAACTCACAATCCAAAATGTAATCAAGGCGGGATCCATCCAAATTCGACCGTACATTCCAAATCTTGGCAATGCAAAAGATGCCAAATTTGGACACGCAACGTCACTATGCCCCAACCGTAATCTCTACGTAAAGTGTGGTAACATGGAACAAGCTGACAACTAAAGTTTTATAGGAAAATGCATCAATTGTAATGGCACCCGTCAAGCAAATTATCGACTCTGTCCGAAATATTTCGAAAAAAAAACGGAAAATAGCGTTTACTCACAGAATTAGCTTCATTGAAGCAAGAAATGGATACAAAAAATTCCAACACCTAATCTCACATTTAGACAAAATAGCCCTCCAAAGAGAGTACATCATGCGCAGAATCAAAAAGAAATGGTATCCGCCCTGACAGCTCAGGTTGTAGAGCTAACCAAAACATTAACAATCTTTACCAAAAAAACCTAATCCTCTCTGTCAGAAAAAGAGGGAGTCCCATAACAAAACACACTCCCTTAACCAAACTAGTACGAAACACGACAAAACCGTAAGTAAAACTCCCTTTCCCACCTGACAAATAACCAAAATCCCCTCCCGCTAAAACAAACACCAACAAAGATGATAATAACCCTAAAACCCAGCGCCAAAAAACCCCTCCCTCTCACCATGGATCACAACTCACCATTCACCATAATACAATGGAACATTAACGGCTTTCCAAGCAGACGAGAAGATCTTAAATACTTAATTAGCGAGAAACACCCTAATATACTTTGCGTCCAAGAAACACACTTCAAAACAAATCAAAAAATCAAAATAAAATATTATGATATGATTAGAAAAGATTGTACCGATAAATCAACAGCATCAGGAGGGGTCGCCATACTAGTGGAATCCTCCGTAAGTCATAACCAAATAAATCTAAGAACAAATGTACAAGCCGTAGCGACCCAAATCTTATCCCCATTCAAATGCACGATTTGCTCAATATATCTTCCACCTGGCGGACAACTAGAAGAAAAAGAACTTACCGATCTCTTTTCACAACTTCCCGAACCTGTCTTAATCTCAGGGGACTTCAATGCACACAACACCATATGGGGTTCTAAAATAACCAGCACACGCGGAAGAACATTACAAAAAATCCGCTCCGACTTAAATCTACATTTAATGAACGATGGGTCTGCACACAATTAAATAGCGCTCATGGAACTTACTCTTGCATAGATATGATCTTATGTAGCCCTAGGATTTTCGAAAGATTAGACTGGTCCGCATCAAATAATTTCTACGGAAGCGATCACACACCTATCTTCATCCAATCACAGATTCACTGTCACCATATTAAATTAAAACCAAGATGGTTAGTTGAACGTGCCGATTGGAGACTATTTCAAAGTAAATTAGTAATCTCAGATGTAAATTTCCATACAAGGATTGAAGTTGCGGTCCAAAATGTCACAGATTCCATAGTGGATGCTGTTAGACATAGCATTCCTAAAACATCAGGATCTATCCCTCGACTACCAGTTCCTTGGTGGAACGAACAGTGCTCACAAGCTCTGAAAAATAGAAGACACGCTCTACGACAGTTCCAACGATCCCCCACCTGTG